GTGTGTGTGTGTGTGTGTGTGTGTGTGTGTGTGTGTGTGTGAGAGAGAGAGGGGGAGAGAGAGAGAGAGAGAGAGAGAGAGAGAGAGAGAGAGAGAGAGAGAGAGGAAGAGCGAGGAGGAAGAACGAGCGGAAGAACACAATCATAACCTTACCTTAAGCTCATCTCGTTGATTCTCCGGTCGTGCATTGACGCCAACAAAACAGAAACTTTATTGCGTCTCGATTTGAGGGTGTGCGTGATTGTATTGGTCGCCGGAGCTGGCGTGGCCTACAACTTGGACGGCACTTGATTTGATTGGAACGTCGATGCTGACGTGGATGCTGACGTGGCACTGCCGGGTCAAATGGGTAGCATCGACGTTCCTTTCCCTTTTGTAGTTTTGACGTATCCGGACCTCGACGTCCCGCCATCTTGCTATTGCTGAGCCAGCGCCGAAGCCACAGCTGACGTGGCTCCGGAACTTGTCCACAAAACCACCTCCACCTCCACCTCGGGAAGTTGTTCGGATGCCATCTTCATCTCCCTGACGTTTGGCCGTTTTTTACTTTTTCTTGTTTTTCTTTTTTTTTTCCCCGAACAAGGACTTCTGCGCAATTTCGCGGGAAAGCAAATACCAGACACTCACACTAGGGCTTTCTGGACATCATTGTGGGCAGATGCATTCACGTCCAGAGGTAGGGCTAGGTCCCACTTGCACGAATTAGGAGATAGAGACCGTAGATAGCCGAGATCAACGGCCGAAATCTCCTAATCCGTGCAAGTGGGACCTTGCCCGTAGTTGCTGTCAGATACATCTAGAAAAGTGCTACTGGTAGTGTGAATATGCCCTCAATTGATACAGTCCTAGGGCCTCGTTAGACCCTCCTTGGAAAATCCTCAGGAACGAGGATGAAGTCCGTGGGAAAATTTTCGCGTCCTAATTTGATGGGTCCCAAGGAAAACCCTTGGCGGCCAATTTCATATGCATACACGCGGGCACGGGGTGGATGTGTCCCTCATGGTGCTGGGATTTCCGTGCATCCTCGGGCGTGGTCCCAGGACGTGGTCCAGTGACGACGGCGGGGAGTGGGCTGAAGGGGAAAAAAGGGCGCCAGCATCCTTGTTCGAATTTCAAATTTTGAACCCTCTACTGTGACGCATCCAGCCGTGAGGCGTCCTGGCGGCTACTGCGACGTTGCCTTCGTGTTCCGCATGCTCTTCGAGCCGTCACAGCTGAGCGCAAATGTAACGCTTTCGTGAAACCTCGAGTGTGAGCCCGGTCCCCATCGACGTGCAGAAGGTGCAGCGAGGGCGTCGGCAGGCGAACGAGTGGTGGGTGCTTGCGCATTGCAGTCCTGACGATGGAGCGAGAGCTCCCGGGTGGTGCGAAGGCATTAATGGCATTGGAGAGAAACACTGTGGTCGCAGTTGTGTCAGTCATCGCCATGAGATCTCATTGAGAGAACGACAACTCGCCCGAGGATGAGATTGTTCGTTCGCAGGAAGAGGCAGCTGATGCAACAAGTGATGGATGCACCCGATTGTGTGTCGTTATCAAAATCCATTGGGCAATTCTGTTTGCACCATGGTATCGGGTGTGATCCCGCAGGTGACACCGAGATGGTGGATGAGAAGGACGGGAGGGATATGGGAGGATCTTCGGCAGGTTGACGACGCAGCGGAGGGCTACTACAAGGAGAAGTCGTGGAGTGGAGTAGTCAATGGAGCGCGCCCGCTGTCTGCTAGAGGTTTCCCGCCTGTCCATTGTCGTCTTCCTCGTCGTTCGTCGTTTCTGTTTATTGTTAGGACCCTGCACAATGACGCACGTGTGGAACAACACGACAAAGAGCAAGAGAAGAGTGCCCACCAGTAGGAATGGGAACCGTCGGAGGACGTCGGCCATAAACCGTAGTACGCGAGGCGTGTACAAAACAAAGTTTGCATCAATGTGCCCGGCAATAGCCGACAAAACACGCTAGGCAGATGTCATTGACTACAATCGATCGACAGTGCTTCGACATCACTTGTAAAAAAATCGAAAATTTTGACCGTTGGACACGACGGGCGGCAACGCGCGCACGAAAAACACTGCTTCGTGAAGCACCTTGCAACTGAAGAACCACCCCCACACATTTTCGCACCAACGGTAACAGTGGAAGGTCGTTGGGGGCCCGTCAAGTACTGGAGAGCGGCGATGTCCGCCCAATGGACCACGGACGACCTGTGCACCAACATCGACTCTAAATTTTCTTGTCGGCGCTCGCTCCGTAACATTCTGTCACTTAGGGCTCCTTTAACCTAAGGGACCTCTCGAGGACCCCTTGAATCCAATGACGTTTTGGCTGGGAATTATAAGGAACCCAAGGAAATCTCTCTGCAACGTTTTCACATTCATTCAAGGTTTTGGTGAATTAGGACGCGGTGTAACGACGTCGATCTCCTAAAAATCGGATTTCCAAGGAGGGTCTAACGAGACCCTTAGTGTAAGGATGACCCTCATTTCCGTGACGATGCAAAGTGAGGGCGTACTCGCAGTAGAGCTATTATGGTATATTTGTCCGTAATTACGTTGAGAGCACACTGATAGTGAATGTATACAAGCTATATTTCTGATCAGGTATAGCCAAATGAGGTTGCGTTGTGTTCGGGGGACGACGGGTAGTATGAGCACTCACAGATTATGCTTTGTTCTGCAAAAATGCAAGTGTGTCTTTTTTTTATTCAGGAAAATTGAAAAGGGCGATGACCTTGAGAGATGATCACCCTTGAGAGATGATCACCCTTGAGAGATGATCATCAAATTGACTGGCCCTAGGTCATTCAAAACAAAAGAAGAATTAGTAGTGTTTGGCTCATCTGCTTTCAGTGGAGTTCGAACTTAGGTCTGTATTTCAACAGTTCAGGGGTGTGCCAATGGAACTAGGTCAGTCAGTCCATACCCTTTTTTCTTGTCTTAAACTCTTTCATCTTCCACTACCTACCTACGACTACTACTCCTAAGGCTATACAGGGCACCCCTACAAGCATAGTTATCTACTTCTCTTGGTGAAGGGAGGTTACCTCTCTCGCAGGAGGGAGGAAATTGCAAGTTTGCTCCTTGCCCTAGTGGTTTAGGGTCCAGGTTTGGGGCCGCTGGTGGGGGCCCGGCTAACACAAGGACCGAGCATTCGCCAAGAGTTGCGTCTCCCTCCCTTTTCATCTTCCCCTACCCTGATCGAGTAACAACAGTGTTTAAGGTCAACACTTTCCCACACACCGCATACAACCCACTCATACTTGCACTCACACCCGTGTTGGTTGAAGACCATACTAATACTGATCGGGAGGATCCAGCTAACTGTCCCAATTGCTTGGCACGAAGCGTATTGCAGGCGGCCATGGGGACTGAACCCACAACCTCCTGAATGCCACTGCGTGCCTAACCAATTGAACTAAGCCCCTGGATTGGTCGGGGATAATTGCCAGTGCCCCCGACTTAAAGTTGGCTAAAAAAAAAATGGAAAGTAAAAAAAAAGGTTGTGAAACCACCCATCTTGTTGTTGGACCCAATGCCTTGCCCAAATTGTCTTTCTACCCAACTACCCCCAAATTCCCAACTATGGGGCTCTGCAAATTATCGACATGTTCGGGCCCCAAGTGGATCCAACAAATTATCATTATACCCGCTATCGAGCGCATCGGTCCGGCACCGCACGTGGCAGCGCGGGACCCTATCGGCCGCGTCACGCAGGAGTTGGACCAACCTCGACACGAACGCGCAAATGGAGTTTCCTTAGGCCGCTCCGGCCGAGTGCGCCATCCATACCTCTCGCGAGCCCCTACGACAGGATAGGGCCTACGCGAGGCACAACTTACCTCCACCTTACGGGAGTTGTCACCTCCCTTCGGTGGGCGTATCCCCGCCGAGCTACCGGTTCATAGTGCGAAAACTACTCGGTTGCAATCGCAGAGGTGGACCAGCCGATGACGTTTCTCGTTCGCTTTAGCATAGGGGGCAGACGCGGTAATACGCCTATCGGACCCGCACGCAAACCGACATCTTGGGGGGCTGAAGTCCCAAGCGCGGCTCGTTGTCGGTCGACTAGGACGAATCCCACACATCACGCACACGCCACTCTACAAACACACAAAAAGAACGCACACACATACACACGAAACGACACACCCCAAACAACGCGGCAACGCCCTTAGCCCCTTCAGTGGTCGTCCCATAACTTCCCACTGCGAAAATCGGATAGGCGTCGCACGCGAGACTTGGTATAAAACTGCGCGAACGGCCTACTCATATCGATTAGCAATGCAACGTACGCAAGCAGTCGCAATGATGGTGTACCATGTAGTACCCATGCTCGCACGGCCCCCGTTAATCTCGAGGGTCGCGTTCGACACTCAAGCGTCGGCTGACACGCGCCTTGAGGGTTAATCTCTCGACGCCGGACAACCGCCATGCGCGGTTGAAGACCACACACCCTCTTCTGCACCTTATCAGAGCGGGTGGTACACAGGTTCATACCTATGGTGGCAGTCGTTTCTTGCAGCCCTGGAGGTAAGTCCTACTCCAGGCCTGGGCAAAAGTCAAGGGGTTTGACTTTGACGGCTGCCACAGACTATAACGTCCAACCATGAAAACTCTAAAAAGCAAGAGCAGGCCGAAGGTCTCCCTGCCCCAAAAATCACGATTTGGGTACCCCCGTTTTTCTTTTGGTTGCCACCGCGGTCCGTGTCGCTGCTGAACAGCCACGCACATGCATAAATCCCTTTGATCCTATAACCTTTTGAAGTCAGAGCGGCGGAGCCTCGCGTGCTGAACTTTGGTATAAGGTCGCGCGGTGGCAGGTCAAACCTATACCAACCGACGATGCCAGTCATACGCGGCGATCGCGGCTCCGACCTCGTGATATTGAATGGCTGAAGGAATATATCGCGAGGGGTTAACCCTCACGATATTGAACGGCTGAAGGACATGCCGTTCGGCCCCCGCGACACTTCTGCCTCCAGGGTTGGGTGTCTTGATGGGCAGTGCAGATAGGCTCTGCGCGAGGGGGGGGTCTCTCCCCTGCAGAGCCTAGGGCCAGGGATGTCTTGAACAAGGACCTTGAATCCCAGCCCAGGACCAACGTCCGACTAAGAAACCCCCCAAGGAGCAACAAGACTAGACGAAAAGTTTTCCTTATGTCTATCTCGGTCCTACCCTCTGAGTATGCCTTTAGTACGGGGCCCCTTAGGCCTCGCGAACACCCACCGTAAATACACCCAGGCATACATACATAAGGGGGATAGAGTTGTGACGATCACTTCTCACAGGCACAGTGAGACTCCTCACAAACATATGTACATATATAAGATCGCAGGCAACCTAAATCCAAAATCCAAGCCACAGGACCTACCAGCAATCACATCAAAGAATCGAACAACAAACCACGCACTACACGGAGTCAACCCAAAC